TTAGGAACTAGTACAGTATATCTAATGCTGCTTAATGCAACCATAGTCACCACTAATCCACTTAATCATATACATTGACACATACACACTATATACACTACACAATGGAGAATGTACGCCTGTAACAGGCGGCACATATGCACAATTACTGTGTTTCCTGTGACATTTGTAAGATGGGACGCTGGGCCGGGTTCCCAGCAGGTGCTGCTCCCCACCAATAGATGGAGCCTCCCTCGGACCAGCTTGAAGTGACTGCTCCTACCAGCACCTCAAGCTGACTCGGGGGCTGTTTGCGAAAAAAAAAAAAAAAAAAAAAAAAGAAGGGAGGGAAAAAACATCCTCTCTTCTTATGGTAGATCCAGTGAAGGACAAGATTTGGCGAAATGGGAGTTATTAAGGGGCTCGTTCGACACTCCTTGGGGCGTCCTCGGAGCCCGAGGAAAAATTCCTTTTAGTCAAAAGGAAATTTGGGCCCTTCGTTCCACCTGTCCTCGGGGACGTCGCCCGAGGACGTTTCCTTGGAGCGATGTCAGAAAATAAAAAAGGAAAAAAAACAAAAACAAATGTGCTTAAGGCCTTCAGCCAATAGGGTGCCGCCACGATCCAGATTCTCGGTTGTAAAGTCTCTCTACGCGTGTGCCCGCTCCTCTCCGTGAAACGCAGATTCCTTTTGCCCAAGGGACCTCGTGAGGTCCCTTGGGCAAAAGGGAGAAATGGCTGGGGAATCCTTGGAGCCCGAGGAATTTCCTTTGGAGTGTTTTCACTTTTTTTTTTCCGACTGCAACCCCGAGGATAAGTGGAACGAACAATTCCTCAGGGAGTTTATGCGCCCGAGGAGTGTCGAACGAGCCCCTAACTCGCATTTAGTCGAAATTGAGATTATTGTTTGTTTTAGAAAAAGAAGGGGGAAACTAAGCAGGAGTCACAAAAATGAGTTGTAATTGCACTATGGGCCAAGATACACTTTCGAATTGCAGTTTAGGCAATGTATACAACCCAGCTTCCTGGCCAGGTAGGGTGCCCGAGGTGCAATTGCGAACTGTATCTTGCCCCATAGTGCAATTATAACTCTTTTTTGCGACTCTACTGAAGTTACCCCCCCCAAAAAAAGATTATCGTTTTGCCTCATGAAATTGCACTGTTTTCCTTTTCTTTCTTGTTTTTTCATCACAAGAAGTTATGAGTTCCAAATGATTCCATCCTTCTGCCCTCTGAATAAAAACGCCTGGACTGCCCGGCCGTTTATCGAGTGAAGAAGGTAGTAGGCTGTCGCATGCATAACATCACGCCTGACACAAATACTGAAAAGCGTCAAACTCTGAACAAGCGCGGATCTGTTTCTTTGGGAATGTGCGATGAGCCAGGATCTGTTTTCGTAGCCCACGGATGGATTCAAACACTGTATCGCTGGGGATGTGCTAGGATCTGTTTCGTAGCCCACGGGTGGATTCGAACACTGTATCATTGGGAATGTGCTAGGATCTGTTCCGTAGCTTACGGGTAGATTAGAAAATTGTATCGCTGGGAATGTGCTTTTTTATCCCGATTGGCCTGTTGGTTTGTTTGCGTTCATTGATTGTTTTCTTGTTTTTCTGTTTTTTTTTATGTATATGGCTGGAAACGTTGGTACATAGCAGATACCTGTGAAAAAAGTACAGACGTTGCGAACCAGGAAAATGACGAGGCCGATATTTGTCTCGCTCTTGGTACCGGTTAGTAGCGAACACTGTGTCGCTGGGAATGTGCTTTTTCGATCCCGAGTGGCCTGTTTGTTTGATTGCTTTCATTGTTTCATTGTTCTTCTGTTTCATATGGTTGAAACTTTCGGTACATAGCAGATACCTGGGAATAGGTACAGATGTTACGAAGCAGGAAAATGACAAGGCTGGTGTTTGTCTCGCTCTTGTTATCTGTTAGTAACGGTCGTACGTGTTATTTGAGGGGACCAAGTACCGGTACGTGTGGTACTACTGGATGTCGGATGGGGTAGATTGGGACTAGTGTTAGCATATTGGATAGTTAGCGATACCGGGGACTATATGAGGTATGATTGCTTGTCTTCTGGTCCTTTTGGGTCCAACGCCGAGGACTGGTGAGTGTTTCCGGAGACGGTCAGTAGGGCAACGACGGAGGTGGGTTGGAGGAAAGACGGAAGTGACGAAGGGAGTAGTTGGTGGTAAACCCCCCTGAGGAGAACCGCGTGGCTGCGGTCGAAACCGGTCGGGGAGCCATATCCCAACCGGCATGCAATCATTTGTGACCTGTGTACAAGTGTATTTTCTCGTACCTTGTACGTGAATGGACATGAGCTTTTTCTCACTTGCGTACGTGCATGAGTCTGGATCTGTGCTTATGTACTTTTCGTAACCTTTCAGCTTACCTCTGAACAAGCACCAAAGGGTCTAGCTCTTGTTTTTTTTTTTTTTTTTTTTTTTTTAAATAAAAAAACAAGATGTTTTTTTTTCCCCCCCCAAAAAAAAACCGGGTTTTTAAAAAAAAAAAAAAAAAAAAAAAAAAAAAAAGGGAAGGAAAAGGTAAAAAAAAGAAATGAGGAATCAGGACTTCGCTCGCAGAGGCGGGAGGCAGAGACAGGATCAGGTGTGAGGTCCCACTAGCAAATGGGAGGATTGGACTTGATGCCTGCATCGGGACGTGTTTGCGAAGAGATGCAGACAATGGCAATTGATCTTCATGTCTGCAAAGAAACAAACAAAAAAAGAAAAGAAAAAGTCCGACGGACAAATCTTTTTGGAAACAGAACTCTCCGCATAAAACACAACCGGATTCAGGTGCTTAATCCAATTCTCTTTGCTAATGCGACCACGCCCCAGAGGTACATTTGTTCTTGGCTGTTGATTTATCGATCGGGCGAATGCGGATCTTAATATCTGATGGAGCATCAGAAAAGAGAAAAAGGCAAAAACTTGCCAAAAAGAAAAAAAGGGACATTTGTTGAATGCCCCTAAAAGTCGGAGTATTTCGTCAAATACCCCAAAATTGCTGGGGTATGATGAGACGCCCTTCTGACAGTGGTGACACTTCTTGAAGTACTCCACTCGTTGATTGGATCCAGCATCTTTCGCATGTGCCCCTGCTGAGAACTGTGAAACTTTTGCAGATGCCCTGGCCGTTGGGGGTCGTTGATGATCAATACTCCTTAGGGCCAGATCCCACTGGCAAAGAGGATTGGAAGAAGTGTCTGAATCTGGACGTGTTCCACGCAGAGGTACAGAAAAGTAGATCAATCATATTTTTTTGCACCTGTCCTCAAACACGTCCACATTCAGACACTTCTTCCAATCCTCTTTGCCAGTGGGATCTCGCCCTTATGCCTCTATCAGTAACACGCATCCCAACGAGAGAGCGGCGCCATCCTGTGTTCACACACACCCACACACCCACACCCACACCCACAGAGAGAGAGAGAGAGAGAGAGAGAGAGAGAGAGAGAGAGAGAGAGAGATGTTGCTGTGGGGCAGACAGAGAAGATGCCTGTAGAGGGGCAGATGGCGGAAGAAGTGCGCCGCACCCTACAGTCCACAGCCAGGCTCATATTGAATGTTGCCCATGGCCGGGACAGGGGCATATGCGTAATTTACCGCAATTTGGTGATACCCTGTGTTTTGGGGTTATTTATATGACCAAATACCCCAACTTTTGTACCTCCATGGTGATTGCTCCACCTTTTTTTTTTTTTTTTTTTTTTCACTGTGATCCAATGGACCACGGATGGGATATTAAACTGATCAGAACAGATACAATGCACTTGATCTTTTTTAGCCAGTGCTGTTGGTGTAGTGGAGAATATAGTTAGGCTTCCATAGATTGCTGATTGGGGTTCGAATGGGTTTGATTAAAAAAAAAAAAAAAAAGGGTTCGATGTAATTGGGGATGGTAGTGGAGAAATGGTGGCCCTGATTTCAGCCAGACCGGTGTGCCTGGCTCAACTCGTTGGGCCCCTTCAAATGATGGGCTCGGTTCCCAACTGCTCAGCAACATAAATCTTTGGTATTTTCAACTATTTTGTTATTAAAAAAAGGCCGAGAACTCGGAGAAAGGTGTGATAGCTCCCCCTTTTCTTTTTTTCTTTTTTTGTTTTTTTTGGGGGGGGGGTGGTTGGGGGCTGTCTCTTATACACATCTAGATGTGTATAAGAGACAGGTCTAAGCCTAAGCCACTAGACAGTTCTATCCGAATATCAGTAGGAACTCCGGTGACCAGCCTCGCACCTACTACGATACTAGACCCTACCCAGTNTAAACTTTCAAAATTCTTTCAAAATTCTATGTCAACTTTCATATGGGACGCTGGGCCCGGTTCCCAGCACGTGCTGCTCCCCACAAATAGATTGGAGCCTTGTTCCCAAAAAAAAAAAAAGAAAAAAAAAAAAAGAAAAAAAAAGGCCTCAGAAGGCCTCACCACCAATACAAGGCAGCACTCCCTATGAAGCGGCGTGACGCGGGACCTATCGAAGAGCCAGGCAACGCGGCGGCGCGACGTGGGATCCATTGAAGAGCCAGGCAACGCGGTGGGTGAAGGTGCAAGGTGGACGCAAGGTGAGTGAAGGCTGGTGAGGAGGCGGACGGCGAGGTATGGTGGCGTGCGGGAGGAGATGGGACGTGTTGGGTAGTGATGGGGAAGGTCGTCTTTGTTCTGAAACCCCCCTTCTTCCTCGACGGTATGGTATGGGTAGAGTTTAGGTGGTCTTGAATCCCCTGTGGCGACTCGTCAACAGGCTTGGCGAGGGGGTGCTACACTATTTTCGATCTCCTTTGGGGGATTGAGGATGGCCTTTCAAGTCTTTGGTGCTTGTTTTGCTTTAAGCTGTGATGTCAGCAGTGGGAGGACGGGTGTTTTCCTCCCCCAGAGACGCAGGGGTAGGGTTTGAGGGGCGTGAGGTAAGTGGCTTGGTTGAGGTAGAAGGGACAGGAGGTTGTTCTCTATTGGATCTGGATCATGATTCAACTCGCGCGTGGCCAGGCTGTCTTATAACCTGAAATTGCTGTCAATCGTGAGTTTTTTGATTCGTCATGATTCTTCCTTGATTTTTCTGAGTTGTGGTTGTGTTTTTCTAGTTTCGGTTAAATCTGATTCATGAGATCTCGTAATTGATCCTTAATGTGGAATTCGTGTTTTGTAGGGTTCTTAATACTTGTATTTCGTGAGTAAGAGTTGTAATCTGAACTCGTAATACATAATAGCTTTTGTTTAGTGCCATTCTCAATCCCTTTCGAATATTTCTGATCTATCTTTGATTTTCTTCTAAAATTTTTCCATGGTAGAGGTTCGAAATCTGATTTGAACATCTTTTTTTGAATACCTAATTCCAAATTCGTATTATCTCGTATCTCTTTTCTTAAATAGTATATCTTGTATAACTTGTTTTGCAATTGAATTCCTACGTTTCGTAATGTGACCTAATTCTTCTCGTTAGATTATCGGCAGAATTCTGAACAGGGGGCTCATGAGATGGTCAAATTGAATATCTCGTAGGGTTTGGGGTTTTCTTGTTTTGGAGTAGGGGGTGGAAGGCATCAAAGGATTCTTTGCAAGGATAGAAAGGGGGTAAAATAGGGCTTTTCAACGGGTACCGGCTAGGGGGAGCCCTTAACAGATGCGATTGGCGTTGGGTAGTTAGGCCAACCAATGGGTACCGGCTGTTGAGGGCGACTTTTAGTGCGATTGGCGTTGGGCAGTGTTGTTCACTTCCTTGATGACGGAGATTGGAATTCTTGTGGGGGCAAGGAATTTCAGGTCCCTTCGATGATGGAGGCGGGATCTTCAGGTCGTCTGTTTCAGGCCTTGCTGGTTTCCTATTTTTGTTCTATATTTCGTTAGAGGGTTGTCAGAGGTTTGTTAAGGCATCAGAAGTCGTCAGAAGTTGCTTTGTAGCCAAGGCCCCTTACTCAATTTTCTCCCCCCAAAAAAAAACTAACGGGGCATCTTGTGGAGCTTTTGGGGACCTGATTTGAAGTAAGGGGCCAGGGGCATCAAATGATTCTTTACAAGGACGGAGAGGGGGAGGAAATAGGGCTGCTCGATGGGTACCGGCTAGAGGGGCCTCTTATCAGATGCGATTGGCATCAGGTAGTTTAAGCTGGCTGATGGGTACCGGCTGATGAGAGTGAACTCTGGTGCGATTGGCGTTGGGTAGTGCTAGTTCACCACCTCGGCGACGGAGACTGGGATTCTTGTGGGGGCAAAGAATGTCAAGGTGATGATGGTGCTCGGCCCCTACGGAAAAGAGGTTCTTTGCTTCACGATGACGGAGTTTGGAAGGACGAAGGTGATTGGGAAGGAGGAAGTTGGTAGTGGATGCGATTGGCGCCGAAATTTCGGCGGGTACCGGCCACTGGCCGCTAACTTCACCCGGATCAGTCTGCGTCTCTTCCCTTCGATGATGGAGGCAGGATTGTTCTGTGTTTTTTTTTTCCAAAAAAGAGGTTGAGTGGGATGAATAGATGGTTGGATATCAAGCGTCCTACTAGTGAGGGGGCTAGCTTGTAGGATGGAAATAGGGTACAACAGCAGTGGAGATGGTGGCTCTGAAGTCTTGCTGGAGTAAGGTAAAGAGGATATGATGGGGGGTTCTCTGAGTTGTTTTCCGAATTTTGCCTATTGAAGCTTCTGTAGTGATTTTCTCAGTACATCAAATTCTTCTTAGCCCCGGGATCCTAAACTTTCAAATTCTTTCAAAATTCTATGTCAACTTTCATATGGGACACTGGGCCCGGTTCCCAGCACGTGCTGCTCCCCACGAATAGATTGGAGCCTTGTTCCCAAAAAAAAAAAAAAAAAAAAAAAAAAAAAAAAAAAAAAAAAAAAAAAGAAAAAAAAAAAAGAAAAAAAAAAAGAGAAAAAAAAAAGAGGAAAGAATAGCCCTTTCGAGCGGTATAGTTCCAAAAAAATATGGGTTGGCAGGTGGCCCCACCCTGATGGAGATAATTTAATTTATCATATATCAATGGCCTCAGAAGGCCATTGGCTGCCCGGTGCTAGCAATTGCCGTGTGTCTGGTCACTGGCCTCTACAACACCCTGGACTTCTTAAAAGAAAAGAAAAGGAAAAAAAAAAAAAAGAAAGGAAAAGGAAAAATAGTTTAAAATACCCCTTGCGTACTGTATGGTTCCATCTGGAGATATTTTCTTTCCCATTGGTACCCCGTTAATCTGCCATCATGAGCCTCTTGCATGTCGGTTTTTTTTTTCTTTTTTTTGGCCTCTTGGGTGTTGTTGGAGGGTTATAAGGATGATTTTATTTTATTTTATTTTTTTTAGCCAACTTTCAATTAAAGTTTGATTGAGTGGGATGTTGGAATTAGGGGCCGTGGCTGGTTAATAACTATGTGGCTGAATGGTACACGCATATAACTGTTAGTAAACAGATCATGAGCTCAAATCCTGAATCAGATGGGTACAATTAGGTCAGGGGCTTCCCCCTTTATTTGAAAAAACAGGGGGGCAGTGGCTTGTTAAGCTGAAGACAGAATCACCTGCCCAGTGTTATCTCCCTTAGAGGATGGAACGCACAGGGAGCAGACAAAATCTCTCTTTTTTTCCCTTTTAAATTAAAGGGCGACAGACTTGAGATATCATCAAACACAATAGATATACCTGCTCAGTTAATCCCCTGAGATACAGGGTAATCAATGCTGGCAGGCCTCATAACCACGATTCCCAAAATCTTCTGTATAATTTTCTGTTTAAGGGACGCTGGACCCGTTTTCCAGCCAGTGACGCGCCCCACCAATAGATGGAGCCTCCCTCTAGGTGCTAGTGGTGACTGTTGAATCAGCAGCACTAGCACTGGCGGGGTTTGTTTTTTTTAAAAAAAAAAAAAAAAAAGAGATATCATCATTGGACCGACCCTCCCACGTAATTCACAATTATTATATTCTGTTCATCCGAGAATTATTTTATTATGTTTGTCTGATTGTATCTGGATTCGAACTCCAGTCCGTATACTAAACAATTCATGGGTGTACCAACTGTATTTTGTTGTATGGATCCGCACTTCCACGGGCCTAAATCCTCCTCCGTGCTCCTGTACGGATTTCAACCGGCGACCTCGGCCCCAAGAGCCAAGTCTCTTAACCACTACAGCCAGCACACGGTGTACAAAAGTGCAACCATGCCGGTCATGACATGCACCCCACCACTGCAAGGCTGTAGCGTCCAAGCACAACTCGACACCACACTCAACTCCTCCGACGCATCGGCAATTCTT